GGACACCAGGCCTACTGGTGAGTATCAGAATATCTACACATTGGCAACATCATTCAGAATCCTTACAAGGTGGAGAAGAGGGCTCCTGTATTCCATCCATTAAAAGATGGTGGGAAGATGGCTTTGAGGGCATTCATGGAATTTGGGGGTGCAGCTCACAGGGTTTTATTATTTGGGGGGTTGAATATCATTTACATTAATACTCAGTTGCATTGTTCCTTCACAGGGTTAAGATGGCCCGACCCCATCCCTACTTCTTGGGCAGGGAGCCAGCTGAAGCTCAGCTCTCCCCATTCACGCCCTGCCCACATTTAACAGTTATTTGCCCCCCTCCTCAATCCTTACATACACCCGAGGTGCTTTCAAGACTTGGGAAAGTGATGGGTCATTCCATCCATTGCTCATCATTAGATATCCTAATGCAAGGAGGAGTTACAGGCATGGGAGCAGAACTGCTCCTTCTCTCTTTCCTGCAGCATGAAACAAATACCAGCCGGTATCATCTCCAAACCTCCCCATCATTTGTTTATTAGATGCCCCCCATGCAGAGAGAATTTAAATGCAGCCATGAAAGTGGGACTATTCCTTCCCCAGCATGGATTGACATAAGCAAAACCCTACCTCCGTTCCCTCTCATCTGAGCCCCTGCTCTCCAAGCAGAGGGTCACAGGACTTGTATAATTTCCCCAGGCAACAATGCTACCAGGGTTCAAAGTCGGACAAGCATTTAGAAAAACTGTTTTTATGCTGAAGCAGTATGTCCCTCTTCTCTCATGTTCGTAGAGTGCAGAAATAACCAACAGACTTAAGACTTTTCATGCATGCATTCCAGAATAAAAATCTTCAAAAAAAAATCCATCACATAGAATAATTCTTCAGCAAAACTGCAAGCTGCACCCCTCTTCGCTTAAACACAAGTGGCCAATTTAACCAGGGAAACTCCCCAAGAAGCAAGGTTTACAGTACAAAGACCCAACTAGTTAGCCAAAAGTCACCTTTCTTTCCATGTAGTTTATGTGATATGATCAACTTTCTAAACAAGCCCTGAAAGTGGTAGACTGTAGATTGAACAGGTCAGGCTCCAAACAGGCCTATACATGGTGTAAGAACTTCAGAAAGTGATGGCAAGCAACAGAACTTCCCAAATGCAGTGAGGAAAGCCTTGGGGAAGAGGAAACTTCAGGAAGCGGTAGGCAGCCAAGTGCAAAATGTTCAAGATTCAGCAAGAAACCCTTTCAGCTTGGACATAGATGTAGAGTACAGAAAGCATTCTTTCTCCCTCAAATGCAGCCTGAAATAACTTAGGTCAGTGGTTTTCAGCCTGTGGTCCATGGAGCCCTGGAGGTCCACAGACTGTCTTAGGGGTTTGTGAAAGATGACTATGATCAATCAAAAGTATGTGAATATCCACACTTACAGTTCAAAGGGGTCCACACCTCCATTCAAATTTTTTTAGGGGTCTTCACATGAAAACCACTGATTTTGAGAAATCTGGCTCACTCCAGGAAAATGTTTAAGTGCATTATTCGTACCCAATTTTGAAGCATGATGTACTAGTACTTTAAGAGGTATTTATGCAAATCTGGATGACCTTGGAGGAGGAAGTGTAGATTAGCTGGCACCTTATAAACTAACAAAATAAGCTTCTTTTAAGCAGCAGCTTTATCAGGTTCTGTGAAGGGACTGCAGGAAGAAGAGCTTCTACATAAAGTAGACCTACAAAGAGTAAGGAAGGAAAGTAAAAAAAGGAGGAAGTGCTGGTTGAGGCAGCGTGGGCAGAAGAGAGCAAAACAAAGCAGTTAACCCGTTGAGGGCCATAGGAGTTATAAAAGCTGATCCAGCTCATGGGAATAAGAATCCATACTTGTGGTTTAGACCAGGGCTGTCTAACTTCAGCGCAACCACGGCCTGCACATTGCAGGGGCTGCATGTTATGGGTGCTGCATGCCTTTTGGGGTCCCCACCAGCAACTGTCATATGAACCTGTAGCAGGTCTAGGACCTCAGGAGCATCTTTGCCCCCTTGTGGCCCTGCAGCCCCTGCTTTACTCTGACTTTCTAAATATCTCCCCTTCCTCTCGCCTGCCATGCCTTGCTTGAATTAGTCAAACTTGGTAAAGGGAGGCTGCCCCAGGAACCCAGCATGGCCTCTCACCCACTGTCAGTCAGCGCATTAAGGCACTCTGCAGTTTAATGGCCTCCAACCTCCCCTACAGCCATGCCCATGCCTTGCAGATGTTACTCATTACTCATCTCGCTGGGCCTTGGCCTCAGTCCAGTATTATGCCTCTTCAGGCCTCTAGGTCTTTACTGAGGTCACTGCATTTTGGGGCCCCATGTCTTACCTAGACTCTGTGCTCTGGCCCATGTCACTCCCATCTTGGCCTCAGGCCAGCCTGGTCCTGATGGCGACTTGCCATATCTCAGATCTCTCTCCTTAAAGACCCAGACTCATTCCCCACAATCTCTGATCTCTACCTCTCACTGGCTCAGGATTCACCCACCAAAGTCTGGTCCTACCTCTCACGGGCTTGGGCTTTGCTCCTGTAAGACTCAGGTCTCGCCCCTTTACAAACTCAGGATTTTCCCCCTTCTGCAATCCTTACAGACTTACAGGTTCAGGATTCATGCCTCAAGGGCTCTGGTCGGATTTGCCTGTAAGTGGCTCAGATCTTGCCCCCTTATGGGTTTAGTCTTCACTCCTCAAGGGGCTCTGGTCTCACTCCTCCTGGGTTCAGGCTTCCCCTTTCCCAGCATCCTCCAAGCTGAGCCTGGAGCCTAACCCCATGCTGAGTTTAAAAGCAATCATGTGCCCCTTGGGCATATCTGGGATCTCCAGCTTCCCGTGTTAGTCCCTCCAGTCTAACTTATAACAAAGGTATAAGCCCATTGGCTATAATGCACACTATAAGCACCCAGGCTGAATACCAAAACTGAGCTATTTACCAGCCTTCAGTTCATTCCTTCCAGTCCCCGGGGCAAGTGGATCCCAGTCAGTCCCCCTCCGCTCAGTATAGAGCTCTTCCCCTGGCAGCCTGCAGAGCCTGACTGACTCCCAGGCTCTCCCTGACCTAATATACTCCCTAAGC